CCTTTATTTATAGTCTCAATATAATCAACCGCTTTCGCGTGTACTTTGGAAACTGAATAAGTTCTTTGAGATTTACTACAATNATTCCCAGGTGGCGACTCTGAAATAACTAAATAAATCCCGTTTCGACTGTCCTTTAATTGGAGAAAACTCCCCACGCGCCCCGCGGGCGCGGCAAAAAGGAGGTGCGACACCTCGTAAACACCAAGTTGCAGGTTAATAATAATCACACATGTAACCATCTCATAGATGCATCTTATGTGGTATACATGGCAGGTGAATGAGCCCATATTCACATTTGATATTTCCAGCATCCATGAGATTCAATCCCAATTTTAGTTGGTCAATTAATTAACGAGAACAAGCAATATAAGAGAATTCATAAAGAACTTTCTAGTTCTTTAATATTTACCCATGTGAATGCTCTATTACTTTTGCACATCATACTTAAATTGATATGACCAAACCAATTATGCCAACTGAATAAATTATCAATATTGATAAAGTTTAGGTTTACAGCATGACGTGTGCAATTATCGATAAACACCAAGTTTATTATGATATGAGTTTTTATATCAATAAACATCCACTTTAGTGTGGTGTTCTTTTATTTGTGTAGTACAAACTGGAGAATAAAGCGGGTAGCTTTTCACATACATATTATCCCGCTACAAGTTGTAGTAATAAAAGATATTAAATCTTTCCTTTATTTATAGTCTCAATATAATCAACCGCTTTCGCGTGTACTTTGGAAACTGAATAAGTTCTTTGAGATTTACTACAATACAATACCTTATTGGTAATCAATTGTGTTTCTCCAAAATAGTAATAATTGGCTCTTCCAGAGCTCTCAATTAATTTGGTACTACCACATATTCATCAACATCCATATGGTGAATATCTCTTTTAAAGAGAAAGTTATACCATTATGGTTATGGTCAAAATTATATGCAAGATCTGTTTCTTGCATTATCGTTGTCTTTTAATAATTACATTGCCAAAATATTTTGGCGTACAATAAGTACGTGATTAACGACCATTTATGCCATAATAATGATATTATTTTCTTATTCCCTCTCAAATCTCCCTCTAGAGGTGAGTGTGGTATATTCACTACCACTAACACGTTCATATTCTTCCAAGAATGAATATGTATTCATAAATTAGATGTTGTCACATTCACATCATGAATAGACAATAATCATCTATATGTGCTTTATAAAATCTCATGTCAAATCGATGACAAATATTACTTTCACAGAGTGAAGGATTATTTTGAGAATCCTTATTGTTCTCATTACCATAATAATGACAATTATAATTTCGTCTATTGCCACGTCCACATCCATTGACACATTCATAGTAATAATTTTGTCTTCTTTCAGACTTATCACATATTGCTATCACATTCTCTTAAGGGAATGAGAATAAAGCATATTCAATGGGACGGATTTTCAATTCTTTGCCCACAATCATACATGAATTTGATCATGGTAAGACATAGAAATTTACCACTTTGGGTGGTTATAATATCTTTCAAACTCCATTAGAGCTGCAATCAAAATTTATCGTCTTTGCTTGTATTTAAAATCAAATTATAGAATGTCAAGAATTTGAAAGAGAAAAGTAAAATACTTACCTTAAATCCAGAATTTAATCATGAAGGAAGTTCATAGAATAATTGACAATCATTATGCTCAATCCCAAATCTTCTACTCATTGGTTAGAGTCTCGTGCTGATAACGTGTTATAAAACAATAAAAGAAGAAGAAGATTATTGCAGAGAAAAGTAGGGAGAAGAGAATTCTTATTGATATGTGATGAATTACAATGGAATAGAACCCTCTATTTATAGAGAGAGATTGGCTTAGCCACCAAGCAATAAACCCTAAAATTTCTCTAAATATAGACATTCACCTTAAATAGAATTCTATTTATAACAATAATGTATTTTTATCATTTTGTTCATGCATTACGCTAGGATTAGTAATGCATGAATTATTTCTATTGGATATTTAATCTAAAATGTTGAAAATTTGTATACAATGTATCCATGTTTTGTCAAAAAGAAATATGTGTGCAAAATGAGAATTTGTTTACAATAATGAGGTTAGTTTTGTCGTAGTATTTTTAATCCACGTATTACTAATACGGGCATTCTTAGTTACTAGTGTTAGAACTTGCACGATGTGCGAATAATTTGACGGAATATTAAACATATAAAATTATGATCTAATAAATCATATTGTTTTAATAATTTGAGTTATTATTTTATTATTTAATATATTGTGCATAAATATAACAAAATCTATACAAAATCAAAGGAAATCAAATAAATTATTTGTTCCTTATTTATTCTTTATTAAATTAGCAAGCACTTAGTACTATATATTTACTAATGTGAGTTTTTATTAACTTGTCAATTGGCTTAATATTTTGATACTACTTCTCTTTTAATATAACATAGATAGATATATATTTTCTTACTCCGGAAATAATTTTTTTCTCTTAAAACTTATATTATACTGTTCAAAATTCTTCAACAATCTAAATTTATCAATAATTTTTTTGAGTGTTATTTATTTATCTATTAGTTTTTAATTATATCATACAATTATCTTTATCCCCCTGTTTTCGTACATTCTTTTCTATTGCAATATTTGATTAATTTTCTCATTTATAGTTTACTAAAAATTTAAATAATATAATTTTTTTACTAATGTTTTTAATAATTATTAATTTTTAAAACTTACCAACATATATATATATATATATATTAAACTATATAAGTCTATAGAGTTGGCTAAGATCCTCCAGAAGAGGAAGATTAATATAGCGTGTGTTCAGGAGACTAGGTGGGTCAGATCCAGGGCAAATGATGCGGATGGGTATAAGTTGTGGTACTCTGGAGTCCAAAGGGGTAAGAATGGAGTGGGTATCTTGGTAGATAGGCATCTTAGAGAGTCCGTGGAAGAGGTTAGGCGGGTGAATGATAGATTAATGACTATTAAGTTGGTGGTTGGTGAGTGTACTTTAAATGTCGTTAGCGCGTACGCGCCGCAAGCAGGGTTGGATGAGGAGATTAAACGGTATTTTTGGGAAGGGTTGGATGAGATTGTGCATAATATTCCGCCCGCCGAGAGGTTATTCATAGGCGGAGATTTCAATGGTCATATTGGGTCGGCTGCATGTGGATATACTGAGGTACATGGCGGCTTCGGTTTTGGGAAAAGGAACGGAGGGGGCACTTCACTGTTGGAATTCGCCAAGGCATTTGAGCTGGTGATTGCGAACTCAAGTTTTCTGAAGCGGGAGGAGCACTTAGTTACTTTCCAAAGTTTGGCGGCGAAGACCCAGATTGACTATTTCCTCCTTAGGAGAGGGGATAGAAGGTTGTGCGAGAATTGCAAGGTTATCCCAGGTGAGACCCTCGCACAAAACATAGGCTTTTGGTGATGGACGTTGGTATTATAATAAGGAGGAAGAAGAGGTTAGTACGAGGTCGCCCGAGGATCAGGTGGGGCGCCTTGACAAAGTATAAAGCCCAGGAGTTGTAAGGAAGTTATTGGCTATGGGAGCTTGGAGGAGTTATGGGGACACAAAAACTATGTGGTCGACGACGGCGGACTGTATAAGGATGGCGGCGAGAGAGGTGTTAGGGGTATGTTCGGGTTGCTCCGGTGGCCACAAAAGAGACTGGTGGTGGAATGAAGTTGTCTAAGGTAAAGTGGAAGCAAAAAAGGCAGCGTACATGCAGTTAGTAGGGAGCACTAGCAGGGAGGAAAGGAGGATGAATAAAGAGAGGTATAAGGTAGCTAGGAAGGAGGCGAAGCTGGCAATCACGGAGGCAAAGACAATGACTTTTGCTCACATGTATGAGGAACTGGGGGACAAAGGCGGGGAGAAGAAGTTATTCCGACTAGCTAAGGCAAGATAGATGAGGGCTAGGGATCTGGACCAAGTAAGGTGCATCAAAGACGAGGACGACAGAGTTTTGATGGGGGATGACCAAATTAAGAGGAGGTGGCAGACCTACTTTCATAAATTTCTAAATGAAGAAGGGGATCAGGATATTGTGCTAGGTGAATTGGGAAATGCCGACAATTTCCATGACTTTAGTTATAGGCACATTGAGGTCAAGGAAGTAATGGAGGCAATGCGTAAGATGAGTAGGGGCAGAGCAACCGGACCAGACGAAATTCCGGTTGAACTTTGGATGTGTGTGGGTAGAGCAGGCTTGGAATGATTAACTGGGTTATTTAATATTATATTCAAGACAAATAGGATGCCATATGAGTGGAGGTGGAGTACAATGGTCCCGTTGTACTAGAACAAAGGTGATATCCAGAGTTGTAATAATTATAGGGGTATCAAATTACTGAGTCATACCATGAAAGTTTGGGAAAAAGTGATAGAAATGAGGGTGCGAAGGACGATGTCTATTCCAGACAACCAGTTCGGGTTCATGCCGAGGCGTTCTAGCACAGAAGCTATCCACCTTATTAGGAGGATGGTGGAACAGGACATGGATAGGAAGAAAGATCTCCACAAGATATTTATTGATCTGGAGAAAGCATACAGCAAGGTTCCTAGGGAGGTTCTATGGAGCTGCTTGGAGGCGAAATGGGTGCCGATTCCCTACATTAAGGTGATCAAAGACATGTATGATGGAGCTAAGACTAGGATTAGGATAGTAGGAGGCAATTTCGAGAATTTTCCGGTTGTTATGGGGTTGCACCAAGGGTCTGCGCTCAGCCCGTTCCTATTTGCCCTGTGATGGATGCACTGACTTATCATATTCAAGGGGAGGTGCCATGGTGTATGCTATTTGCTGATGACATAGTTCTGATTTATGATATGCGAGGCAGCGTCAACGAGAGGCTAGAGGTTTGGAGATATGCCCTTGAGTCTAAGAGTTTCAAGTTGAGCAGGACTAAGACTGAATACCTAGAGTGCAAGTTCAGCGTCGAGCATACGGAAGCGGGGGTGGACGTGAGGCTCGACTCCCAAGTCATTCCCAAGAGGAGTAGTTTCAAGTAACTTGGGTCGGTTATTCAGGGGATTGGGGAGATCGAGGATGTCATACACCATATAGGGGTGGGGTGAATGAAGTGGAGGTTAGCGTCGGGAGTCCTGTGTGACAAAAAAATACCACCAATACTAAAAGGTAAGTTTTATAAAGCAGTGGTTAGGCCTGCCATGTTGTACGGGATCGAGTGTTGGCCGGTTAAGAACTCACATATCCAATAGATGAAAGTAATAGAGATGAGGATGTTTAGGTGGATGTGCGGGCATACTAAGATGGATAAGATTAGGAATGAAGCTATTCGGGAGAAGGTGGGCGTAGCCCCCGTGGAGGACAAGATGAGGGAAGCAAGACTCAGATGGTTCGGGCACATTCAAAGGAGGAGCACTGATGCTCCGGTAAGGAGATGTGAGCGACTAGCTATGGTGGGCACGAGGAGAGGTATAGGACGGCCCAAAAAGTATTGGGGAGAGGTGATCAGGTAGGACATGACACAACTTAGGATTGCTGAGGACATGACCCTTGACAGGGAATTATGGAGGTCGAGTATTAAAGTTGTAGGTTAGGAGGTAGTTGTGAATATTTCTTCGAAGCATCAGAGTTAGACTTGCTAGTTAGGTTTTAGTTTTAGAATGTTAGTGGTTTCTACTGATGCCGGTCTTTACCTACTGGTTATTGTGTACTTTCCATCTATTTCGTTTTTTTATATTGCTGTTATTCTATTATGATTCTATTGATAATACTAATGTATCGTCTCTTGTCGTCTTCTTGAGCTGAGGGTCTCCTGAAAACAACCTCTCTACCCCTCAGCGTAGAGGTAAGGTCTGCGTACATACTACCCTCCCCAGACCCCACTAGTGGGATTACACTGAGCCGTTGTTGTTGTTATTGTTGTATGCTTATCTTATGTATAACATCCTAATAGTATCTTTATATTTTTGTATTTTTTATTATGAAATTATGAATTCTATTTATTAATTAAAATTTCCTACATGAGAAACTTAATTAGTATATACATTTTTACGCTATCGCTTACTTTTTTTATTTATTATAGTATTCTTCCTTTATAACTATTTGTTTATTATGATTTTAGTTATGTGTATATATGTACGACTTTTATCATCGTAATTCTAAGTATAAATCTTATATTTTAATAAGTTTCCACAAATTTATATTTTATTTATTTTTGTCTTAATATTATTAAATTATCATATAAATTTTTAATAAATTATCAGTAATAAATACAATGAATATAATTTTGTATTACTCTTGAATTTTAACCTGACTTTATTCTGTATGACTTTCTCATAATTATTTCAATATTTAAATGTATCAATAATATTTTTCAAGTATTATTTATTTACTTAATTTTATCAATTAAATTTAAAGTATGGATGAAATCACACTATATCTATTTTCCTCTTTATACATTAGTTTTTGTTCTACAATATTTTAATTTTTTCAAGTTAGTGTTTATCTAGAATACGAATATTATTGTATTATTTTTCTAAATGGATGGTATTGAATTAATTCAAAGGTTAAACATCGAAGTTCTTTTAATATATGTCATAAATCTACTAATAACTATAATAATTATTATTTAATATTATTTTCAATAAGAAATTAAATTGAATTATTCTTCCCGTTTGTACTTAATATGATTTTTTTTTATTAAGAATACTACATAAGAAGTTAAATTATATCTTTTTATAATTTATTTATTTCTTAAAATTATTGTTTATATTTTTATCTTTAGTTATATCTTATCCATATAGCATATAACATGACCATATGAATTATTATACAAAAACTTTCTCATCTCAGAAAACAAATTAGTCTTATTATTTTATATATCTCTACATTGAAGTTATATAGTTATATAGTTTTTCCTTTTTTATAATAGTTTCCTTAAAATATATAGATGTTTAATTATTTTAAATTCAAATTCAAAAAGAGTAACTAATTATTAACTAACTTAACTAATCTGTCCTAAAATTTGACACTTGTTGAATTGTTGTTGTGACACTTGGCATCATCATATTGATTTGTTTCTCCTATTCTACGTAGATAGATTCTACATTTGATTCCCGTATAACTTAAACATATACCATTATTTATGAAAGAAATAATATTTTTCAACCAAATACTGCACGAAATAATGTTAAAATTTTTATGCGGAGTTTATCTCCTCCTTAGATGAAACGAAACGACCCCTTAGCAGATCGTTTGGCAGGTGTGGAAGAGAGCTAGTATCATAAATTTTTAATATATTAAGTCCTGAGAACTATTTTTTCCTTTTTTCTTTCATAAATAATATTTATTTAGTCTGTGGGAAAGTTCATAAATGTAGAGTAAAAAGAGAGAAAACAATTAAATATTAAAAAAGTATTAAAAAAGAAAAATAAAGGTTAATAATTTGAAGGGTAAAATAAGTATTTAGCCACTGAAGTGACCCATTTTTTTTAGTAGCGGGGTTTTGCATCGACCCCTACCGTGTTAATTAATACCCAAAAGACGAAAATATAAAGGAGGGGGACATTAGACCTATGGGGTACTATATGACCTTTGTATTATAAAGAAAAAAAATATAATTTTACTAGATAATTTCAAATAGTTGAGTGATTATTTAAATAATTGATTCATTCATTATTATAAGGACAAGATTATCAAATTTAATAAATTTATTCACAGATTTATGCAATTTGCTATTTGGTGCCGTTCCAATATGAACTAATCCATACAATAATGAAATCCAGAAGAGTCAACGTAAAATTCAAACTTATTAGTGTTTTTTCTCTTAACCACGAAGGAAAACTTTATTAATCTTGCACTCAAATCACAAGCATTGTATCTACATTTTTCTTCATATTTATAAATTGAACCTGCTAAATTTGTTAAATTTCTGAAACTCCATTATTAAAAAAATCATGAAACTCCATTATTTCATCTTAGCCTTTCTTGTAGCATCAATATCAATTGTCTCTCATTTCGCACAATCTGAAAAATGGTGATTATTCACCAAATTCACCATTCTATAGCCCTGCCTTAAATCAAAGACAACTAATGACTAGCGCTTTACAACGTTCCATCAATCGGGCAAAAAATTTCATGTCAAATACTCAATGTCACACCCCTTTTTACCCCTCCAAGAGATAAGTGTAAAATATTATGGATTGTGGGTTAAAGAGCTTTTTCAATTAAAGTGACAAATTTGAAATAAGGATTATTTTATTTATAGAGTCGCCACTTGGAATTGATTTCTACTGGTGTTCCAAGTCACCTTTTATTTGAATCCCTATTCAAAGGAATGTTTGACTCTATTATTATTGGTCTGCGAAAACAAAGTCCGAGTAAGGAATTCTGTTGACCGGGGAGAAGGTGTAAGGCATTCCCTGAGTCCCGTGGTTCTAGCACAGTCGCTTTATTGACTACATTTGGCTTGAATTAAACTTGGATAAACTGTGATTTATGTGATTATTATGCTTTTCTTATGTCCGCTTTTACTTATTTGATAAAATAATAATAATAATAAAATATCATAATCACACTACGCTAACGAATGTGTAATCTAGACAAAATTTATTGGCTTAGTCATAACAGCACTACGCAAGCGAATCCACAGTCATGACAAAGAATTATTAGCACGTTATTACTTTCAGAAAAATTATTATATTTGTGTATTGAAAAAATTATTTATTAAGAGTTACTATTGCGCTACGCAAGCAAATCCGCGAGTTTAGCAAAGAGTTTATTAAATTAGAAAATAATTAAAGCTAGTAGAAATAGTATGAGATTACTGAATTAGAATATTAAGAGTTAATATCACGCTACGCAAGCGAGTCCTTGAAATAATAATAATAAAAAGTTAAAACGGACCTACTGGTTGCCTAACGTTTAAATTAATTAAAGGT